CCAGAACTGAATCTCCAAATTGTAATGAAACTTCAGTGATATTGATTTGGGCGACACCCCCAAGAAGAAGTGTCTCATCGGCATGAAGGATGAAAGTACGTGGCAAGATCAACTTTCTTGGTAGCACTAGTATGAGTTCATCAAGTGTGAACAAATTCAGGACCTAGAAAATCTGTTTAACGTAAGGTTCATAAAAGGTAGCTTTGTCAATGAAAATGAAAGTGAAAGCCCAAAAAGTAAACCTGTTCACTATTAACAGTACCAGGAGTGTCATAACACCAATTTCCTTCAGCAAATATTGGATCATCCGGGTTCCAACTAAAAGCAGTAAGTTTTAACTAACAGCAGTCAACCGTTTCCGAACGGTAAAACCATTAACACGCAGTTGTTTTAAAGAGAAGTACTGACACTTTTGTGTTCTCTTTTTTGCGGTTTGGCCGTCTTCCCTCTTCCCGCTCACGAATGTCAAGAACTGATACTGGTTGGAGCTCTTCTTCTCTGACCTAAAATACTTAGCAGAAAGATACGAAAAACTTGCGACTTGAAGGCCTGACCTTGTAAGAATTCCCAACGTTAGCTTGTAGCACAGCATATTTCACATCTCCAGTCTCTTTGAGAAAAGCACGCCTTAATTTATTTTCTTTGTACTCCCATTTACGATTCGCCAGCAACCTAAAGGTAGATAAACTGTTTACCAATTTTGAACTTCAAGTAAACAGTAAACAAACTGCAGAATAATATTCAAACACACCGACGACGTCTTATTTCAAGTCTGTGAGGAGCGATTTTCATAACTGGGAACTTAAGTAACGAAATAGTGGTGCCAGGCCATATCGACGTTGTCGCTCTTTCCACTAAGTCTAGTGCGCGCACCTTACACAAATCCGATCGCAAAAAAGTATTAAACAGGGTCCTAGACAAAACTCTTGAAGCCATTACGGTAAAGAAAAAAACTTGCTAATAGTGATTCACTTAAAAATCAAAAATCCTAAAAGGTTTTTGAAATAGCGCAATTACTAAGATTAAAACTGGGTGAACAGAGAGTTAAAAAGTTTTCACAAAAAGTTGTAAACAAAATACACTCACGATTTTCCAGCATTGGTACATCCAACTAAGTATATGTCGCTACGAAGAGAGTCGCGCTTCGAGGCCCATTTCAGGTGAATTTGCTGAAAGAAAGCTTACTTTATGCACCACAAAAGAAAAACAGCAAATCTCTAATTTAGTACCGTAATCAAATCTTCCACTCCAAATCCAGTTTTCGCACTGATCAAGGTAAAATGCAAAATATTAAAGGCATTAGAAAACCTCATATCGTCAGCGGTTGCAATGAGTAAATCCCTATAATGCTTTAAGTACCTGTGACGATAGTCAGGAGGTAGTAAGTCAACTTTGTTACCTAAAAGCAAGCATAATTCCACTCCAGACTTTCACTAAAAATGTTTTATTGTTGACAAACCATCAGAAGAGCTAACCTACAACAAACATTGGCTTTTTGTCTCCTATTATTTCTCCTAAGCCAGGGTAAAAAGAAAAAGGCAAATCTGTCATATCCGCAATGAGAAGTATCAAAGCTTCCTGCTTCATCCGCAGATGTTGCATCATTGACCGGTAGTCCACGTCACTAACATTAACGTTCACCTAAAAAGTATATAAAATTAGTCGAGCACTCGATATCCGCTCACCATGAACATGCCAGAAACTAGAAGAAAACCCTTAACTACACAAATGAAATTCGTTTAAAAGAGAAACCAGTTTCTGAAAACGAATGTTCAAAAACAAAGCAAAAAATTACCAAAAAATTATGCTTCTTAAAAAGATAACATCGACGACATAGGGTTACCTCTGTATTTCTACCTGAATCAACATCAAAAAACAGCTCAGCAGGTAAGAAACCGGGAAGGGAAACGTCCTAAATATTGGGAAAAATCTGAATAAAACAATTCGGCAAGCTGATCAGTGAAACTTTAAAGCGGAAAAAAGAACAAAACACGAATATCAATAAGTTAGTGACACTTACTTTGCAGTGAAACTTAGCACCGCATCCATGACAAAATTTAGTAGATGAAGGGGCAGAAGGGGCTGTCGTAATCGAATCAGGAAACCAGTTCGAAGCATGATCGTTTTCAGCCTTAAAAAAACGAAAAATAAAAAAAACCCAAAAAAGAAAAAGAATTCTACTGTCAAAAAAAAATTTTTTTCAGAAAAGTGTGTTCGCAGCACTTGCCTGGACTCCTTTAGAAACAGGCGCTTGATGAGGACGTTGGAAATCAATTACTTCAACAGCATTTTCAGCACCATATGTTAGAAGCTCGTCTTTCCTTCAAAAAACCGAGGAATACGTAAATATAACTAAGAAAACGGATTTTAACAATGACATGAATAGAGGAGGTCCCGACTGGGTGACTGTTACTACAATTTTCAAAAAAAAGAGTAGAAAAAATGATTTTTCTCCTGAATAATAAAAATTGATACATCTCATTATCAGGTATTTCAAAAGTCGTTCCTTTTATGTAATCATCCATATACATATGTTCTTCTACATAAAAACCTCGATCGGCTGGATAGTAAACTCGCCCTCGCTCGTTAGCATTTACACTTGCTTTACCATCAGCTGTTTTAGAATCCAAAGTACCATGGTGTAATTCTTTTTCAAAAACCCGCGACGGATTCAACGGTAAATCCAACTTAAAAAACCAGCAAAAGAAACAATTTGAAACAAATCATAAATAACTCTCAAAAAGCCATTTCAGAACTAACTGTGCGATCTTCAGGCCGTTCCCGGTTTTCAGTTAAGTCTTGGAGTTCCTGCTTCTTAACTGCAATTGAGCCATAATCAGATATATGATTCCTAGAAAAAATAAAGCTTAAAATACAGTGAAAAATAAGTAAAAATTCCCAGAAAAATCCGTCTGAATATTCATCCCCTCCTGAGCCTTTCGACTTCTGCATTAAATAATTTGAAAATGATTACTCAACAAATTTTTCCGCTGCGAGTGAATTTAAAGTGGCATCCACTACGCGGTCTGAAGCACCTGGCCGTAAAAGAGCATCTCTTGATGCATTTTCCCAACGAGTACGAATTCGTGCCATAGCAGCACTATTTGATAATCCTCCCTTGAGTATTTGACGATCCAAAACTTTCTTTTCTTTCCGAGAAGCGAAACATCGCACGATATAAAAATGGTCATAATTTCGCTCACAGATGATTTTCATGAAGCGCAGTAGATACATTTTAGTTACATTAATTCAGAAGACTCCTTATCTTGAGCAGATCCGTTCTGAAACTGATAGATCAGGCACCCTTATTCAATTTAAACTTAGATACCTTACCTGAGCCTTACTTCTCGCGCAATACGAATGAGGCACTGTACTTTCGTCCAAATATTTTCCTATATCTAGTTCTTCAATGACTGAAGGCTCTCCAAAATCGTGTTTTATGACCTTAAAACGTATGAAAAAATATATACATGTGGAAACTCCAGCAATAAATCGTCCAAAAATTAGCAGCCATCAATTTAACAAGTACTATTGACAGATCATAAAAATTGCTTCAAATAAACCTTGACGTTTTCAAATACGCCGTGAAATCGTATAAGGTTAATAGAGAATATAAGCAAGACGAAAGCAGTGACACCTATGGGAAGTAGTAAAGGAATAGCAATAGCCCAATATTTCGCAGGAATATATGTTATATGCCAGTACTCAAGCCAAGAAGTTGGAACGAATGCCCATATAATGTACAGCGGAAGGACAAGCCAAGAAAGAAGAAAAAACGCGAAACCTTAAAGTATCGCAATGGCATTAAAAGCCTAATTGATGACTAATTTAACAGCACATAGTGAATATAAAACTTCCGAGAAACTCCACAGATCAGTTGGAACCAGAGATAAAACTCGGAATTAAAGGAACTTAAAGAACCAGACAACAAGTCACCAGAAGTTTTTCCATACCATAAATGGCCCTCGAAGGATGAGGATTTGGTGTGGCGTATTCTGGAAGCGAATCCGTTCCACTCAACGAATCATCGTCGTCCGTCATTAGCAGCCTTTTAAACTCATCTGGCACCTTTAAAAAATTTTTTCCCTCATACACGCCACTTTTCAACAGCAAAGAACTTTGAAATCAGCGCTTATCAACAACTCCAAATGTTGCACTACAGTTTCACCTAGCATAAAGACCTAACTTACCAAGAGCAAACATAAGTACACAAATCTGTTCCAGTTCAAATTGGAAATCAAGAAAACATAGCAGTGTCACGCCGTCGAGAGAAAAACTTTTCCAGCTGATCATGGAGCAAATTCTACCAGTAAGTTAGATTAAAACCAGTGAATCTGAATAAACCAGGTGACAGTACAAAAATTTATATAGAACATACTACAAAAACATTTGAACCAGCAATTATAGACTTACAAGAAGTCAATAAATCAAGAAAAACAATGTCAAAAGATCTTAATAAATAAATCTGCGAATACAGAATTAAGGTGTAAAATACAAAATAGTACAAAATTAATTACTCCAGTCATCATCACTATTAAGATCTTGAACTTGTGGCTGATCTTCACTCTTTGGAGGAGGGGGTATCATTGCACTAATTCGTGCCATGGCCCCTTCACCAACGTTAGCACGCGATTTCGTTTTTCTCCCTTCCTTTTTTCCAGATATTCCTGTTAAGTAACTTGTGAACAAAAAAACATCTTCAGAAAGAAGCAAAACTCCTACCTCTTCTTCTCATTTCCAGAGCTTTCGAAAGTGATGTCATCAGGTCGTCTCCTGGGGGAAGAATACTAGGCTTCGGTAAGGCAGATACATCATCACTTGGTTCACTAGACTAAAGAAAATAATGTCTTAAGAACTCTGGCAATTAATTAATGAAACAATAAGAAATTGCCTACAGTTAGCCCATACCCTTTTTTTAACAGATCTTAGATTGGCTCCTTTCGTACCACCAGCCCGCCTAATCGCTTCCATCAAATTAGATCTACTAACATCCACAGACGGTAACGTAGGACGAGATTTCTCGGTTTTCAGCGAACTATTAGCAGAAGCAGGTAAAGCGAGCGGTGGCGGAGGTGGTGGTGGAGGAGGAGGAGGAGGTGCAGACAATAAAGTAGAAACGCTTCCAGAAGAATCTTCTAGAACTGCTCAACAAACATAAGTAAACATCTGCGAATTGCAAAATACATATTAGAGATACGCTAATATTTTAAAAAATTCAGTTAAAGGTTTTACGCATTAAAAACCAAAAAGAAAAACTAAGAAGCAAGTCATTCACCAGGCTGAGTAGAAGCAACAGCGCCAGAAGCCGTAACAGCTGTATTTGGAACTTGTGAAGTTTGAGGAGTATCCCCATCCGACTGTACGGTCAAACCTGAATCGCAGCCACTAGGAATAGCTCCAGGCCCTGTCCGTACAGCAGAATCTCTTGCACACGCAGGTTCATGCTCTGATTCAGAAACCTTTGCGCTATTTTCAGAAAGAGACTCTGCATGCGCTGATGGAGCAATAGGAGCAAATTGAGCATCAGAGAAAATAAGATCGCAAGCAATTCCTAAAATCGAACTGAAAAAAATAATTGCCAGTATTATATAAAGTGCTCTTCTAGAAATAAAGTGCTACCTGGCAAATCAGGAAGAAAGTCAGGAAAGTCAAAATCCTGCAAAATACCCAATTCTGGTTCATACTGAAAAGGATCTGCTTTTTCCTCTACACTTACAGCCAATGCAGAGTCCCCTTCAGTAATTAAAATCTTGGATTCATTGACTGCTTCTTTCCGAAACAAAGGCCGCGTCTTAAACTTTTTTTTTAAAAGATAAGATAAAACAAAACGAAAAAAACTGAAACTGGAGCGAAAACCGCTTTGTTCGGAGCTAAGAATAAACCTTGAAATGTATGAAACCTTAAAAGTTGTGTTGTCCAAGGGATCAACATATTCAGGATGTGTGAAAACATTAATGGGCATGTTGAACAAGAGTAAATCTGCCACCGAATTAACAGTCTCCGGTATTATATGCCCTGCAAAAGTTTTTAAAACAGAGAAAAGGCAAAAAACGAAAACAACCAAATACTAGCCCCTGAACAGGGAAGAAGAATAAAAACTGCTTGCTATACTTTTTGCTTCCGGCCTATTCTGCTTCTGCCCAACATGGTAGAACTTTGCTTTCTCCACGACAGCATCCTTCAGATCAAAACCTGCTGTTTGAGGAATACGGTCTTTTATATAAGTACATTCAAGTGTTTTATCTGTAGAAAGACAAGCTCCATTCGCGCGAAGAAAAACTGCCTGCGATCTTTCATATTTGTTTTGCGGAAACTTTGCAGGTGAGTAAATAGTTACAGCAGTATTCATCTAAATTTAAAAGAGACAGATACTGATTTAAGAGCAATAGAATGCTGAAACTAGTGGTATATTGATTCGTTCAAATTGTGTCGTTCAAG